TAGTTGTAGTAATAGAGGAAATAGGAAAGGGAGAAATAAATACACCCCAGCACTACGCTAACTCTTTTTTCTGGCCTCTTTGACCATCCTGACATTTCTTGAAACTTGCGTTCCTGCTTTAAGATGGCTCACAACCTTGTACAGAATGCAAGCTTTCCTATTTGTCAGTTGTTATAAAACAGTACGTTTGCCAGGCTAATCCTTCACACAAGCTTTTTATCTTGAGCAAGGCCCATGGAAAGAACAAACACTTTCATGCAATTCTCTCTTTTTTAAATATCTTTTAAATTATTGACACAGGTATAATAACATCACAATCCATCACCATTATTAAATATGGAAAGAACAAACCATCTTCATGCAATTCTCTTCTTTTAGAGTATCTGTAACAAAGTAAAACTGCTTCTGATGCCTCTTGAAAATCCTACCAGTGGTACTCTCCACTTTTTGTAAAAAGGTCCTACCCAAACAGGCTCTTTATTATATTATATATGTGAATGAATATGTTCCAAAGAAGAGTTTGCAGATCACCACTGGAAAATAGCCAGAACCCAACCTTGGGCATTGAATGTGTAAGATACAGAGAAGTAAAGGGACACACCACTTGCTTTGCAATAAGAGTGACTTGGTGGACATCTTCAGCCCATCCCCAGGCTGTTCTGCTGTTTGGCTTATAGTGCCAAGGTGCTGGCCAGTCATTTCCAGGTCAATAGTCCATCTCCAAAACTTGTATGTTGACATTTATTTATTTACCCTGCCCTCTCTCCTTCATCAACTCAGAGCAGCTATGCGACAGAGAGGCTTCATATGCCATTTTGCCTATTCAGTCACTGAAAGGTGCACAACTGAAATATTCTATTGCAGGCTTTCTGCTATAGGACCTGTACACCTTCAACTATACTGCTTTTAAAAGTGGCATGAATTTTGTTGTTGTTCATTCGTTCAGTCGTCTCCGACTCTTCGTGACCTCATGGACCAGCCCACGCCAGAGCTCCCTGTCGGCCGTTACCACCCCCAGCTCCCTCAAGGTCAGTCCAATCTTCAAGGATGCCATCCATCCATTTTGCCCTTGGTCGGCCCCTCTTCCTTTTTTCTTCCCATTTCCAAGCATAATTGTCTTTTCCAAGTTTTCCTGTCTTCTCATTACGTGGCCAAAGTACTTCATCTTTGCCTCTACTATCCTTCCCTCCAATGAGCAGTCGGGCTTTATTTCCTGGAGGATGGACTCGTTGGATCTTCTGGCAGTCCAAGGCACTCTCAGAACTTTCCTCCAACACCACAGTTCAAAAGCATCTATCTTCCTTCGCTCAGCCTTCCCTAAGGTCCAGCTCTCACATCCGTAGGTGACTACAGGGAATACCATGGCTTTGACTAGGCGGATCTTTGTTGCCAGTCTGATGTCTCTACTCTTCACTATTTTATCGAGACTGGACATTGCTCTCCTCCCAAGAAGTAAGCGTCTTCTGATTTCCTGGCTACAGTCTGCATCTGCAGTAATCTTTGCCCCTAGAAATACAAAGTCTGTCACGGCCTCCACGGTTTCTCCATCTATTTTCCAGTTGTCAATCATTCTTGTTGCCATAATCTTGGTTTTTTTGACGTTTAGCTGCAACCCGGCTTTTGCGCTTTCTTCTTTCACCTTGATTAGAAGGCTCCTCAGCTCCTCCTCGCTTTCGGCCATCAGAGTGGTGTCATCTGCATATCTGAGGTTGTTAATGTTTCTTCCAGCAATTTTCACCCCAGCTTTGCATTCATCAAGCCCCGCACATCGCATGATGTGTTCTGCATACAAGTTAAAAAGGTTGGGTAAGAGTATGCAGCCTTGCCGTACGCCTTTCCCAATCTTGAACCAGTCTGTTGTTCCGTGGTCAGTTCTTACTGTTGCTACTTGGTCCTTGTACAGATTCCTCAGGAGAGAGAAAAGGTGGCTTGGGATGCCCATCCCACTAAGAACTTGCCACAATTTATTATGATCCACACAGTCAAAGGCTTTAGAATAGTCAATGAAGCAGAAGTAGATGTTTTTCTGAAACTCCCTGCCTTTCTCCATTATCCAGCGGATATTGGCAATCTGGTCTCTCGTTCCTCTGCCTTTTCTAAACCCAGCTTGAACATCTGGCAACTCTCGCTCCATGTATTGCTGGAGTCTTCCTTGCAGGATCTTGAGCATTACATTACTGGCTTGAGAAATAAGGGCCACTTGAGCAGTCTTTAGCATTTCCCTTTTTTAGTATGGGGATATAAGTTGATTTTTTCCAGAATGAAGGCCATTCTAGTATTTCCATATTTGCTGGCAAATGGCATGCATCACCTTGACAGCATCATCTTTTAAGATTTTAAACAGTTCAGCTGGGATCCCGTCGTCTCCTGCTGCCTTGTTGTTAGCAATGCTTCTTAAGGCCCATTCAACCTCACTCCTCAGGATGACTGGTTCTAATTCATTCACCACACCGTCAAAACTATCCTCAATATTATTATCCTTCCTATACAGATCTTCTGTATAGTCTCGCCACCTTCTCTTGATCTCTTCAGCTTCTGTTAGGTCCCTGCCATCTTTGTTTCTTATCATACCAATTTTTGCCTGAAATTTACCTCCAATGTTTCTAATTTTCCTGAAGAGGTCTCTTGTCCTTCCTATTCTGTTGTCTTCTTCCACTTCCATGCATTGCTTATTTAAAAATAGTTCCTTATCTCTTCTGGCTAACCTCTGGAATTGCGCATTTAACTGGGCATATCTCCCCTTATCCCTGTTTCCTTTTGCTTTCCTCCTTTCTTGGGCTACTTCCAGTGTCGCAGCAGACAACCATTTTGCCTTCTTGGTTTTCTTTTTCTTTGGGACGTACTTTGTTGCCGCCTCCTGAACAATGTCTCGGACTTCTGTCCATTGTTCTTCTGGGACTCTGTTTACTAAATCTAGTCCTTCAAATCTGTTCTTCACTTCCACTGTATATTCGCTAGGAATGTTAGTGAGATCATATCTAACTGGTCTGTGTATTTTCCCTGATCTCTTTAGTTTTATTCTAAATTGAGCAATAAGAAGTTCGTGATCTGAGCTACAGTCAGCCCCAGGTCTTGTTTTCACCGACTGGATGGATGTCCGCCACTTTTGGCTGCAAAGGATGTAGTCAATCTGATTTCGGTGTTGACCATCTGGTGAGGTCCATATGTAAAGCCGTCTTTTAGGTTGTTGGAAGAGAGTATTCGTTATACACAGCGAGTTTTCCTGGCAAAATTCTATCAGCCTGCGTCCCGCTTCATTTTGTTCTCCCAGACCATGCTTGCCTGTGATCCCAGTTGTCATTTGACTTCCACCTTGGCATTCCAGTCTCCTGTAATGAAAATAATGTCTCTTTTTGGTGTATTATCCAGTAGGTCCTGCAGATCCTCATAGAACTGATCTACTTCTGCTTCTTCAGCAGCTGTGGTTGGGGCGTATATTTGGATCACTGTAATGTTGAAAGGATTTCCTTGCACTCGAATTGAGATCATTCTGTCATTTTTTGGGTTGTATCCAAGCACCGCTTTAGCGAATTTCTTATTAATTATGAAGGCTACTCCATTTCTTCGATGTTCCTCTTGTCCGCAATACAGAAAGTTGCAGTGGTGTGTAGCAGTATGTCGTTGGGGAAAATTTAATGATTTGCTGAAATAGGAAACACAGTATAAAGGTTGATGGTCTTTGACAAGGAATATTCAGAAGTGGTTTTGCCAGCTCTTTCCTCTGAAACATAGCCTATAGCCCCTAGCACTTCCATCCAAGTACAAACCAGGGATGCCTCTGCTTAACTTATAAGATCAGATGCGATACCTTTCAAGATACATGGTTCTTAATTAGTTACATCTAGTGGTGCTCAGTACGCTTACCTTCAAGTTGCTTGTCAACTAAGCCATGACTGTATTTCCTTATATGAACCTGAAGTTTTAGATTCTTGGAGAAAGGTTTTTTCTCAGTTCCACCGTAGTCACTGGGCCATATGGTGATCACACAGGTGCCTTCTAGGTGGCAATTCTCAGCCTGTGGAAGTCCCGCCTACAGGAAACTAGGCTGGCGCTTTCTGCGGGTGGCCAGGTGATGTATGATTGAAATGTTTTTGAATGATTTTATAAATTAACAATTAATTGTGTTTTAATGTGGTTTGTTTGCGTTCTAACTTTTTTATTTTATTTACTTTTTTGATTTTACCCTTTGGGAGAAAGGCAGCATACAAACAAATTAGACAAGTAAACAAATTAACCAAGCTACCAACTTTTACACCAAGTTGAAGTACACTCTGTCCATTACATTTGTGGGTTTAACTTTGGTGGATTTAATTAATATCATCTCTCTAGGAATCTCTGGATCCGCCAAGGTGACATTATGGTCAACTATTGCTGGAAGTTGACAACTGAATAACATTGCAAGACATAGCTTTCTAGAGAACACTTCTTTAGAAATCTCTGCCCTTCTGTGCAAATCTATGGTCAACTGCTGGCAGTCTCACCCTAGAGCCTAGGACCGTTCCACACAGCCCTATATCCCAGAATATCAAGGTGAAAAATCCCACAATATCTGCTTTGACCTGGGTTATCTGAGTCCACACTCAGATAATGTGGGATTTTCTGCCTTGATATTCTGGAAAATAGGACTGTGTGGAAGGGCCCCTAGATTCCTAGAAAGGTGTTGTCTCAGGGGAAAAGGTTTTCCCCCCCTGCATTTTCCCCACTTTTGTAGGGGTCCTGTGTTTGTAACCTGCATGAAAACAGAGGGTGTACTGTATACACTTACTGATATACATATATTATTACAACATATGCCACCAACACTCTAGAAGTGGACAAAATTTAAAACTCTGGATGGGTAGGAGATACCCACAAAAGCCTCCTGCTAACAACCACTCATGCCCCCCCCCCCCCCCAATTTATTCAGTTCCCATTACTATTTTCTCTTGGTAGCCAACAGGGCACTGTTATCCATTTCACATCCAACGAGTTCTATACAAAGAAAAAAAACCCACCAGAAATACTTAAGCAAACTTTTATTAACAATCACAAATCAACTGTGAAAAGTTAATTTTTCAGTACAAAATCAGAGATATGAGACCATGATGGGGCTATAATCAAAAGGCAACAAGGCAAATGGAGATAAACATTCCAGTAAATTTGGGCTCCTGGAGCCCATGGGGTCTCACTCAATAAGTAAGAGAGTGTGTGTATAAATGAATTTCTACTGCTCCAAAGAGCAGGGACATCCTATCATTTTAGTTTTTTTTAGAGTCCATGACAGAAAGGACTACAGATTGTATTAAAGTGTGGACTTATCCCAGTAAATTTTAAATAGTGTATCTGCACTGTTTTCAATGGACTCCCTGTGTAATGAGGCAGCCCATAGGGATTGTATGCCCTTTGAACTTGTTCCACAAATGGCATTGTTAAAAATGCCCCATAACCTTCTCTAAAGCAAATACATGCACTTCAGCGTCATTAGGTTATTTCAACCCATAACTGCTAGTCAGGACATTAAATCAACTCTACCTTTTCAACTCTGCTGATTCTGCTGCAGCTGCTCAGAACTAAACGAGAGCTCAGATGGGCTTGGACTCTAGTTTCGTACCAGCAGAACTTCCATTCAATTCAAAACATATCAAGAAGAAGCAACAATAAAATGTAGCATACACCTGCCACACACATGGCAGTGCACCCACTGGCAACCCAGTGCAAGTTTGCCCCATGGGGGCAGGAGAGAGATAACCACCAAGTTTAGATATCTCCAGTGAGACAAAAGATTATCCTGGTCATCAACCATAATAAATAAATATAGATATAAAGATTATCTTTCAGTAAAGAACAGTGGACTGCTAAGTGTTTTGAAAGAAAGAATACGATGATCAGGGTATATATGAGACAGCATTCTCCACTGGGCAAAACAGAACCAAGATCCACCGATTTTGTCGAGTTTAAATCCTATTCATTGTTGCTCTTTTTGAGCACCATCCTTTATCAAAGGGGGACAAATACACCCAAGAAGCAGCCATTTTTAGGTGAACCTTGATTAATAAATAGGGTCCTATCTATGAACTCACCTACCCCCACCCCCACCACCACCATGTACTTCTACATAGGAAATGGCTTATGAGCATTCAACATTTGCCATACAATGAATACTCATGGAACTTTGCCTTTTTTTCCAACTTTTGTCTCTTCCAATAAATTTGTCATCACAGGATTTCCCTGTCTTGAAAACTTGAGGCCCTGGCTTGCTTTCTAGCTATCTCCCATGCTACAGGATGCATGGAAGTATATACATACAGTGGGCTATGGTTGTGCTGATGACCACATTTAGACGCCAGCATCATTTTTTTCATTTGCTTTGGGAGGAGGTTCTGCCTGCACCTTCTTCATCTCCACCCCTTTCACCCACGTATATGCAAAGGAGCCACCTAGAACCATCATATTACTAGTCCACCACAAGAAGCTCTTTGTTTCTTCATAATAGCAGACGGCTAGCACTGTCTGGGCACATGCTTTAGCTGTCCCAGATACGTTGTGCGTGAGAGGGCTAGTAAATTTGATTTGGAGTCCTGTCACATAGCCAATGGCAAAACCAAACACCCCACTAAGGGTCATCATGCCCCAAAAGGTGGAGCTCCCCAGTTTATCAAAGTAGTAGATGGTATAATAGTCGTTAGAGAGCAATATGAGCGGCAAGAACAAGACACAGGCGTTGAGGTTGTTGTAGAACGTCAGGCGCCAGATGCTGCCATCCACAGCAGGTAGGACCTTTTTAGTGTAGATAGCATTGAGTGAGACGCAGAGACTGGCTAGGATTCCAAAAATTATGCCAGACCAGGACAGAGTCCCTTCTGCTCCTTCCTGATCTATACCAAGCCAGAAGCCACCTGCAAGGCAAAGATATTTGATGGTTCAGATGGGACAAGAAAAAGACCAGTGACAAGAGCAGCAATCGTCCTAAAAAGTTGCAAATTCTTCAGCCTCTGACTTTAGTGACTCAAAATACATGAACAAGAAGTCCATTATTGGTCGGAGATGGGAGGGAGTGGCATGGCAGATTAATGATCACTTCTAATGTTCAATCAATGAACATTAAAGAAGTAGTCAGGGTCAATGGTGGTAAGCAGACCTGGCATTTCCTCTTCTGTCCTCCCCATCTCCAAATGGAAAATTGAAAGTTAGGAATAGAATTCAAAAGCTCCTATATTTAAGGCACAAAAATGCTGTATTTAGACCACAAAACACAAATTGTACAGGTAAAGAATGTGGGACAATTAGATCAGCATTACTACATATACAAAGGACCCTGGGATTATTGTTGATCATAAATTGAATATTACCCAGGAGTGTGAGGCTGCAGCAAAGTGCTATCTTAGCCTGCAATAATAGAACCATTGTTTCCAAATCAGGGGAAGTAATAGTCTCACTATAATCAGGCCTCATTTGGACTACTATGTTCTGTTAGACGGTAAGAATCACAGATTTGGAGGAGAGGCCATCCGATTCAACCCCCTGCCATGCACCAGTTCTGGGCACCTTGTTTTAAGAAAGAGGGTTCAGAAAATGACAAAAAGGTTGATAAAAAGTATAGAGAACAAAATATATGAGAAACTGAAGATTTGTGGCATGGTTAAGAAAAGACAGAGGTGGGACACGATTGCGTTATTTAAATATCATAAGGCTTGCTGCAAAGAGGACAGTGCAGGCTTGTTCTCTGCTATCTCACAGCATATGGCTAAGGTAGGCATTAAGATCAGTAATTCTTGATTTTTTGGGGATCTTATAAAGAAAAAAAAATGTATTAGAAGGAGCAATACATTTTTTGTAAAAAAAAAACCTACCCAATTTTTCAGGAGCAAAAAAGATGTTATTAATTCTATCTGCATCTCTATGCAAGTATAGCCTACAGCATGGTTTTAATGCATATAATGAAGTAAATGAAAGAAGACAATTAGAACGGCCCAGGTTAGTACCTGAATAGGAAACTGCCTGGGAACCTGACTGGGTAAATGCAGTGTTAATCCCAACTAGAATAAATCCACTGAATCAATTGGTAAGTGGTAAATTAACAACAGCACTGAATTATTGATTCAATGTTTCTGCTCCAATTAGGACTAGCAACTGGATACAGCCCTGTGTCAGCTGTCTTGAAGGTCCTAGTGAACAACAACTATAACAAACACGATTGCTATAAACACATAGTATTTGTCTAGGATTGTTACCTGAGTGATGTATGCACAAATATATTCACTGATGCAGAATGTGCTTCATAACAGAGCACAAAGGGAACAGAATTGATAGAACAACGCTAAAGAAGTCATTATCAGTTTGATCTAAATCACCATGGCATAGTAGTTTGAAACCCAGATTGGAATTCCTGCTCAGCCATGGAAACCTTGAGTGGGTTATACACTCTCAGTGTCAGAGGAGGACACAGGCAACCCCCCTCTGAACCAATATTTCCAAGAAATTACTCCAGCAAGCTAATTGTTTGCCTTCACACAATTTCTTACTGATGGTGAGCACATCACAGTATTTTCTTGGCAAGATTTGTTCTGAGGGGGTTTGCCTTTACCTTCCTCTGAGGCTGAGAGGGTGTGAATTGCCCAAGGTCACCCAGTGGGTGGCACATGTTTTGTAGCAGTCTATTCAATGCAATTTTCTGAATAAGCACCCCAATTAACCAAACTGAATCTAAAGTTGACCAAAAAGTGATTCATAATCCTGTTAGTACTAATGTTGGAGAGTGGTCTCTGGTCAGAGTGGTCCCTGGTTTTTTTTTTAAAAAAATGAAAGGCTGGGAACCACTGCTGTATATCTACATATTGAGAGAGAGAGATGTAGTGCCTGGAGTGCTTAGGTTGTGTGATCCTGCGTAGCAGAAGCAAGTTGGATTGGTTGACCCTTAGGGGTCTCTTCCAGCTCCATGATTCTATGAATTCCATATATTTACCTATAGAGATAGGCTGATGTGGTGCCTGGAGTGCTTAGGTTCTGTGTTTCTGCATGGCAGAAGAGAGTTGGACTGGATGGCCCTTGGGGGCCTCTCCCAGCTCCATGATTCTTTGAATGTATTTATATATATATGTACTGAGATAAATATTGAAGGGGAAAAAAAGATTTAAAAAAGAGATTGATAGGTGTAATGCCTGGAGTGCTTGGTTGTGTGTTCTTGTTTGGCAGAAGGGAGCTGGACTGGATGGCCCTTGGGGGCCTCTTCCAGCTCCATGATTCTATTAATATATCTATATATCAATATATTGAGATAGATGTTGAATAAAAAAAAGATTTTTAAAACAGATATTTGTAGTGTCTGGAGTGCTTAGGCTGTGCATTCTTACATGGCAGAAGAGGGTTGGACTGGATGGCCCTTGGGACCCTCTTCCAGCTTCATGATTCTATGAATATATCTATATATTGACATATTGAGATATTGAATGAAAAAAACAGATTTAAAAAAGAGATTGATAGACAGATGTAGTGCCTGGAGTGCTTGGGTTGTGTGTTCCTGTTTTGCAGAAGGGAGTTAGACTGGATGGCCCTTGGGGGCCTCTTCCAGTTCCATGATCCCATTAATATATCTATATATCAATATATTGGGATAGTTAAGATGCTGAATTGGAAAAAAATGATTAAAGAAGTCATTGATAGTTGTAGAACTTGGAGTGCTTGGGTTGGGTGTGGCAGAAGGGGATTGGACTGGATGGCCCTTGGGGGCCTCTTCCAGCTCCAGGCTTCTCCTTCCACCCCTGGCCCCGGGGGAGGCCCCTGCCGCCACTCACCGATGATGGCCCCGCAGGCCAGGAGGGCCGGGAGGGAGGTGGTCTGCTTGAGGAGCAGGTAGGAGAGCATGACGTTGAAGACGGTGGTGAGGGAGCGGCCCACGTTGTAGAAGGCCACGCCGACGTGCTTGAGGCAGAGGTTGTTGAAGGTGATCATGCCGATGAAGACCACGGAGAGGGGCAGGACGCTGCGGGAGACCTTGAGGTCCAGGCGGATGGAGGGGAAGTCGAGGCAGCCGCGCGGGCAGAGGCCGGCCAGCAGGCCCATCGCCTTGCACAGCAGCACCGTCACCAGGCACTGGAAGAAGGTGACGAAGAGCGGCGCGTCCAGGCCCAGCGAGGGGCTGCCCAGCAGGTACTTGTTCAGGAAGACCATCGTGATGGAGGTGAACCAGTATAGAGACACCACCGTGGCGATCCGCAGCGCCCGCAGGAGGAAGGGAGGCTCTTGCCCGCCCTCGCCCTCTCCCTCCATGCCAGCGGGCTCCGCCGGCGGGAGCAAGGCCTCCGACGAGCCGCCGCCACCCAGGGCCATCTTCAGGATGGCGGAGCGCTTCAGCTGGACCCTGTTCATGGCGGAAAGCAAAAGAAAGTCTGGGAAGTGTGTTTCAAAATTGTTTCAAAGCCCCAAGGCGTTCCAGTGCCGCCTCAACACGAAGACCACTCTCTCCAACCCCCTTTTCCGGCAGCGGGGAGCCATTTTGAAGATTTGCGCAAAGGCCCCGCCGGAAGAGGAAAGGCGCGCGCTCACTTCCGCCTCGAAGCCGGGCGTCGCTAGGCAACGCCTCTCTCCTCCCCAGCAGCGTTCCCAAGCTGGGATCCTTCCTGCGTTTTGAACTACAGCTCCCAGAATTCCTGGCTGTTGGTCAAGATGGCTAGAGCTTCTGGGAGTTGAAGTCAAAAACTACCTGATACTGCTGATGAGTGGGCTCCATTGTGTTCTTGCCTTATTACAGGGGTGGGCAAAGTTGGGCCCTCCAGGTGTTTTGGACTTCAACTCCAATTCCTAACAGTCTCAGGCCCCTTCCTTTTACCCCTCAGCCGCTTAAGCGGCTGAGGGGTAAAAGGAAGGGGCCTGAGGCTGTTAGGAATTGGAGTTGAAGTCCAAAACACCTGGAGGGCCCAACTTTGCTCAAGCCTGCTTATAAAGTGCACCTATATACTGTAGAATTGGGAACTTTAACTGCCATGGCCCAATGTTATGGAATCACCAATGTTTTAGTTTTACAAAGCATTTAATCTTCTCGTCCAAAGAGTCCTGGTGCCTCAGCAAACTACAACTCCACATGATTTGATAGCATTGGGCCATGGCGGGGTGATAGTATGATAGCTGGGCCTGGAAGCTCAGAGTGTTATGCACATTCTGCAATGGCGGTTGTAAATAAGAGAAGGGGAGAGCGACACACTGAGGGCGGGAATATACTTTGTAATTGCCTTTGATGGAAGGATAGGAGGGGAGGGTTAGGATAAGGTTTAGGGTGAAGTTTAGGAGTAGGGTTAGGATTAGGGTTAAGGGTTCGGGTAAAGGTTAGGGTTTTCGGTAATAGTATGATAAGCTTCGCTCCTTCGCGAGCACTGTTTGCGCAACGCAGAACGAAACACAAATATTATAAAAGGAATGTAAGAGTTCACCTTGTCTCTCTCCTGAGGAATCTGTATAAGAACCAAGTAGCAACAGTAAGAACTGACCGTGGAACAACAGACTGGTTCAAGATTGGAAACGGCGTACGGCAGGGTTGTATACTCTCGCCCAACCTATTCAACTTGTATGCAGAACACATCATGTGATGTGCAGGCTTGACGAATGCAAGGCTGGGGTAAAAATTGCTCCCTGTCAGTCGTCACCACCCCCAGCTCCTTCAAGCTCAATCCAGTCACTTCAAGGATGCCATCCATCCATCTTGCCCTTGGTTGGCCCCTCTTCCTTTTTCCTTCCATTTCCCCCAGCATAATTGTCTTCTCTAAGCTTTCCTTTCTTCTCATGATGTGGCCAAAGTAGTTCATCTTGCCCTCTACTATTCTTCCCTCCAATGAGCAGTCAGGTTTTATTTCTTGAAGTATGGACTGGTTGGATCTTCTCGCTGTCCAAGGCACTCTCGGAACTTTCCTCCAACACCACAGTTCAAAAGCATCTTATCTTCCTTCGGTCAGCCTTCCCTATGGTCCAGCTCTCACATCCGTAGGTGACTACGGGGAACACCATTGCTTTTACTATGCGGATCTTTGTTGCCAGTGTGATGTCTTTATCAAGATTGGTCATTGCTCTCCTCCCAAGAAGAGGTCATGAGTTTGGAGCCAGCCTGGGTCAGAGTGAGCTCCTGACCATTAATAGTCTAGCTTGCTGTCGACCTATGCAACCTGAAAGACAGTTGCATCTGTCAAGTAGGAAATTTAGGTACCACTTTATGCAAGGAGGCTAATTTAACTAATTTATGACACCATGCAGAAGAATGAGGAAGTACTCCATCAAGGACTCGGTATTACAAGTGAAGCAGCAGCTCTCCCCTGTGGCCAGAATTGAGCATACCCTCATAAAGCTGGAATGTTAAATTGCCTCTGTGTCTGTCTATATATGTTGTATGTCTAAATGGCATTGAATGTTTGCCATGTATATGTGCATTGTAATCCGCCCTGAGTCCCCTGCGGGGTGAGAAGGGTGGAATATATACTGTAAATAAATAAATAAATAAATAAATAAATAAAGTCTATCTTTAAATAAACACCCAGCAGCCAGTGGCCAGCCTTACCAGAGCTATTTGGATGGACTCATTCTACTATTCTACCACTTTAGGCCCCAAAGAGAAAACAGCACTTCTCCATCATCGGTTGTCAGGAACACAGTTTCCTAACCTTTTAGCCACAGGGTGGTTGGAAAGACTGCTGGGGCCTTTCTACATTATGAAAGTATAGCACTATAATTTCACTTTACCCTGGAATCCTGGGAGTAGCATTATACTGGTGTCTAAGGATGAGTCTACACTGTACAATTAATACATTTCGATACCACGTTTTGAACTACATGTCTCAATGTGATGGAACCATGGGAGCTGGAGTTTTACAAGATTTTTAGCCTTCTCTGCCAAAGAGAGACAGTGTCAAACTACAGCTCCCAGGATTCCGTAGCATTGTGCCATTGCAGTTAAAATAATGTCAAACTGCACAGGTTCTGCAGTGGTACATGCACCTTACAGTGTTTCAGCCCCAACCACCATGCTGCCTGGAGGCAGAATTTGGGAAAATTACTTTTGGGTTTTAATTCCCAGAATCCCCTAGCCATCACATGGGCATGCTGGTTGGGGGATTCTGGAAGTTATACCCTGCAAAAAGATACATTTCCAAATGGGAGGCACTCATTCCTTTTGCTGCTGCCACACAGATGAATCTTTAGTATTTTATACCAACAACTGCAAGCAGTTGGGGCAAGAGTAGCTACCTCTACTCACTTGCCCACTTTCTCTAGGCTATGATGCCAGGCCGCCCGACAAAGCCTGCCATAAATACAAAGGCAAGTACTTGCTATAAGTGTCCTAGGTCCCTTCTTCACTGCCAAAAAATCCAGATTATAAAAGCAGATAATTCACATTATCTGCTTTGAATTGGATTATATGAGTCCACACTGCCATATAATCCAGTTCAAATCTGGATTTTTACATGGCAGTGTAGAAGGGGCCCTAATCAGCTTCTCTGCCTCCAGCAGGCAGGTGAGCTTTGACTCTGGGCAGAAGGGAGATGTCTTACCACAAAAAGGAGCAGCAACAGGACCCTCGGCTTGAATCTCTGCTCACCTTTTAATCAACTGAGCAGTAAGCAGCTTATCTCTATCTTTTCTTCCTCCTTTTCAACTAACAGTTGTAACTTCCTGCACCGATTTTTTGCTTCCTTATCCTCCCCTGCTGCCACCTCACTTGGAAAATGCAAATGAGGTATCAGCTGCTGGAGGATGGGTCACTTTCTGGCAAGAGCTGCTAACCGTTTTTGTACTCTCCTAGGACCTAAATGCTAGAAATGCACCGGAGCCTAACAGCCTTGGAAATTAAGCAGCTCAGCTCGGTTAGTACCTGCATGTGCAACTTGGTTTTTGCCATTGTGGGTCCAAATGTGATCCCCTTAGCTCGATTTTAGGGTCCTGAAAAGTTGAACAACAGTGAAAATTTTCTGAATGTCACATAGTGGTTGTTTAAGGCATTTACGTTAATCTGTTCGGCTGTGTTTATCCAGTGTAAACACTGCACAACAGAAGTTCACCAGATATGTTTCAGCTATACATCATAAAAAAGAGAATCAGCCTGTTTAGCAAGTTTTGCAGATGCTGATTTGTTATCACTAAATGTTTGATTTTTGCACCTTTTTATACACCTATATACTGTACGCAGGTTCACGTAATTTTTTCTTGGACACTCATTACCTTATTGAGTGTACTCAGGGGATATCTACACTGACTATTTGATGCAGTTTCAAACTGGTATTGAAGAAAGTGGTTTTGACACACATTTTTCCCCACTTGAAACATACATTGCATATAATTCTTTTATAATTTTAAGTAAATTATGTTATTATTTTATTATTTCAAGCGAGGAAAATGCAAAACTAGATGGGAAGCATTTTATTATCCCGTTTTACTGTTATTTTAGATAAGCAAATATGCAAAATGTTACAAGCTCAATGATTTTATGTATAAGGTGTGTTAAAACACTTTTTGTCTTAAAAATATTATATACTTTATCGATTTGATATTGTTTCTTTTTTAAAAAATGATTGTATATTCCTTTCTAATAATAAAAAGCATTAAAAAAAGAAGAAAGTGGTTTTGGTGTGCAGGTGATTATGTACAAAATTTTGGACCAGATGGTGATGACACAAACCACAGAACGCTGATGCACATTAAAAACAATATTTCACGCACCTTTGTGGGAGTTTATTGTCTGGCTGCCACAGTTTGGAGCTAGCTTCAAATTACATTAAATGGCTAGTGTAGAGTGGGCCCCAGGATGCATTTACATTGTAGAATTAATGCATTTTGACCACACTTAAACAGCCAGGGCTTAATGCGATGGCATCATGGGAGTTGAAGTTTGGTCAGGCACTAGCACTATTTGGCAGAGAATGCTGAAGACCTTTTGAAACAAAAGCATTGAGCCATTGCAGTTGAAGTGGTTTAAAGTTGCATTGATTCTACAGTATTGATGCTGTAGAATTCTACAGTATCCTCAGTTTACAGAAGTTTATGCTAATATCTTCATTCTCTCAGTTAATCCCTAAAATGCTACACAATCTCTTCACACACATATTCCAGATTATTTCTCTGAATTAATTCCTTAACTGTTACTGATCTATTCCCCCTGTCCTCCAAAGGTGGAAATGCTAGGATTTACATTTGATCTGTAGTCTGTAGCAAAATACTTATTTATGTTTATTTTGAAATAAGACCCAGTGGGCTCAATGAAATCTTAAGATTGCATACAGCTTTACAATCTTAGGCCCCTTCTACACTGTCCTATAAAATCCAGATTATTGGCTTTGAACACAATTATATGGCAGTGCAGACTCAGACAATCCAGTGCTTTGATAATCTGAATTATATGGCAGTGTAGAAGGGTCCTTACAGTGCTTGTTACAGAGCCAGCAATGTTGCAACTCTTCATTATAACAGCTGGCTGGTCCCCTCATCTGCCCTGCTCCTTAATTTAACTCTCCTCAAAGTATTATCTCCAGAGACTCCAGAGTAAGGAGGGACACAAGGGGCT